CTAATCACCTCATCTGGACGCTAGACTTAGGACAGGCCCTAATCACACACATCCAAGTCATAACTGAAATATGAAATCTTGACCAAGACGGGATCACTCATCCGTCTCGATCCATCAATTTAATCACATATAGACTTCAGACATGAAATATAATTAAAAGCGATGAGATACACAGTACAATGGTCCCCACTTAGATGCTAGTGAATGCAAATGCTGAATAAAGCTGAATTGACTGGTAGCAAGTGGAGGCTCAACTCTCCTAAAGCTACAAAATATTTGAGCCAAATATTCTAAGTACTGGGCTCAAAATAAAAACTTGAATATTATTATCTGATCTGTCTAGGTTTGCTCACTCGACTTTAAAATCATTTTAGGAATTTACGAGCTGATTTTGAAAATATTATTGTCTTTGAGGCGCACTAGAGTTCTCCGAAATATTTCTAAGTCTGGAACTATAATCTGACTGAATCTAAACCGACTAGTCCAAATCTGACTCAAATTTTAAATCTGACTGATTTCTTAAATCTAATTGAATCTTTAATCTGACAAAATCTGAAATATATCTGGATCTTAAATCTATCTGAAATCTTAAATCTAATTGAATCTTTAATCTGACTGAATCTGAAATATATTCGATCTTAAATCTATCTGACATCTTAAATCTGACTGAAATTTTAAATCTAACTGGATCTGAAATCTATCTGAAATTTCTCGAATCGTCCGGACTGGCTCGAGTGGAATGATCCGGCGGATCACTCAGAACCGACCGGTTATTCGCTAGCTATGTGCAGCTCGGCTCAACTGTGGTTCGGGTTCGGCGTGGCAACTCAGGGCCGACACAAACACCGCTGACACGGCTTTTCCGATGCAAGAGTTTGAAACGGCGCCACGGTCCCTGACGCATGGGCGTGCTTGGACCACGGCTAACGGAAACGGTGCATAGACAGTAATCGGACGGACTCGGTGCACGGGCACGCACTCGGTGGTTCGACTCGGACTCGGTGCACAGGCACGCAATTGGTGGTTCAGCTCCAACGGTCGGACGAGGGTCGAATACTTGTGTGGGACGATGATACGCATTAAGGATTAATTTATGACGTCTAAAGTCATTTAAACGGTACCAGGGTTCGGGCGATTACTCTTGGATCTAAAATTTATCCGGTTATCCGAACCGGATAAAACTAGGGTTCTCGATTTAAAAAATCCTAACTCATTTAAGGCCAATATTCTTAGAACTTAAGTTCTACGTGATTAATTAGGAGTGTCAGACCGAGATCCCAGTTTCATAGGCCCACTCGAGGTCCTCGAGCGAGTGGGTGAGGTAGCATACCGTTTGTGCACAACATCTTTCACGTGTCGATGCTGAGGGATTACGTGCATGACCCACGGCACGTATTGAGTTACAGCGAGCTCAACGTCGGGCAAAACCTGACTTATGAGGAGCAAACGACAGCGATTCTGGACCGAAAGGTTCAGCGGATGAGGACCAGAGATGTATCTAGTTCGAGTTCGCTGGAGTCGTCACGGCGAGGCCGAGGACACTTAGGAGCAAGAGGAGGAGATCCGAGCTCGTTACCTAGAGATTCATTTCTGATTAGTACTTTGTATATTTCAACTCCTAGTTTATAGTCGAGTCGGAGTTATGTATAGTTTTGGCATTTCCGAGGACAGAAATATTTAAAGGAGGATAGATTATAATGCCCCAAATATTATTTACTATTTATGGAGCTCGACTTTATTTTCATAAATAGCAGGTTTCCTTATTTGATGCATTAATTATTAATATTTGCACTAAATCGAGTAATTAGTAATAAAGCTAAGCCATAGAGGATTTATTCGATTTTTTATTATAAAATCGGATTTGTTGAGCCCAAGTATCGTTTTTATTTTTAAAAGATAAAATCGAGCCTTGGAATAATCAGAAATTTTTTTAAATTAGGCCGAAGCCCAATAATCGAGAGAGTCGATTTTATTCTGGCCCATTTAGATAAATCGAGCCCATGTTCGATTTAATTTTAGTTCATTTTAAAAATCGAACCTTTAGTCGCTTTTTAAATCCGAGCCCTTTATTAATTATTCGACTGACTAATTTAACTAGTCTTAGTCCCGACCGATTTTATTGTCGAGCATTTAATAAGTCAATGTTCGATTATTTAGTCCAAGTTCGATTTATATTGCCGAGCATTTAATCCGTAAGTCTAGGATCGGTTTTATAAGCTCAATTTCTTGGCCCGATTTTGAGGCCCAACAAGACTAGAAAACCCTTGTCTTCTAGTCCACTATAAATAGAGCACTTAGCTCATTTTCTCTTCATCTCCATTTCTACAAAACCCTAGTCCACTCATCCACTATCTCCATTTCTTCCACCTTCACCCACCATAAAATCCGGCCATATTCCGACGGCCTGACCTCCGGCGATCCATTTTCCGATGAGTTGCCGGCGAAACCCAGGCCGGTGAGCCCTTACCCACGCCGCTCACCTCAGTCTGTGCCTCCCGACATCAGCCCCGCTGGCAAATCGCGAGCCCAGCAGCCGTCGCGCCTCTCGAGCTCCTTCCCGTCCCCGGCAACCTCGGCCAGCTTCGGTTCCAGCACCATCCAGCCCGCATTGAGTCGCCCAGCTCAAGCTTCGGCCGCCGGTTACCACCCCTTCACGCTGGAGAGCAGCTCCCCTCACGACCCGCGTTCGTACGCTGGAGAAACCACAGACTCGAGAACCAACCTCGGTTCACGTGCCCAGACGAGCCAACAAGCGTCGATCTGCGCGACCGGACCCTTCTGAGCCATTTGTGAGTCGGGACGAGTCTGGAGCGGCTGGACCGGGTTTGGTGCTGTGGACCACAGAAACGGCTCAGGAAGGGTCCGGTCGCCCAGATTGAGGCTCGTCAGCACGCCTGGGCGCGTAAACCGGGGTTGAAGGTGCTCGGGTCTATGGTTTCTCTGGCGTACAGACGCGGGTCGCGAAGGGAGCTGCTCTCCGGCATGAAGGGGTGGTCACCGGCGGCCGAAGCTTGAGCTGGGCGACTCGATGCGGGCTGGACGGCGCTGGAACCAAAGCGGGCCGAGGTTGCCGGCGACGAGAATGAGCTCGAGAGGCGCGACGGCTGCTGGGCTCGCGATTTGCCGGCGGGGCTGATGTCGTGAGGCGCGGACTGAGGTGAGCGGTGCAGGTAAGAGCTCACCTGCGTGGGTTTCGCCTGGAACTCGTCGGAAAACGGATAGCTGGAGGTCGGGCCGCCGGAATATGGCCGGATTTTATGGTGGGTGAAGGTGGAAGAAGATGGAGATAGTGGATGAGTGGGCTAGGGTTATGTGAAAATGGAGATGAAGAGAAAATGACCAAAGTGCTCTATTTATAGTGGACTAGAGGACTAGGGTTTTCTAGTCTTGTTGGGCCTCAAATTCGGACCTAGAAATCGGGCTTATAAAACCGATCTTAGACTTACGGATTAAATGCTCAGTAATATAAATCGAACTTGGACTAAATAATCGAACATTGACTTATTAAATGCTCGGCAATAAAATCGGTCGGGATTAAGACTAATTAAATTAGTCAGTCAATTAACTAATATAGAGCTCGGGTTTAAAAATCGACTATAGACTCGATTTTTCAAATGAACTAAAATTAAATCGAACATGGACTCGATTACTAAAATGGCCGAAATAAAATCGAACATGGGCTCGATTTATCTAATTGGACCGGAATAAAATCGACTCGCTCGATTATTGGGCTCGGCCCAATTTAATAAAATTTTCGATTATTCTAAGGCTCGATTTTATCTTTTAAGAATAACAACGATACTTGGGCTCAATAAATTTGATTTTAATAATTAAAAATTGAATAAATCTCTCATGACTTAGATTTAATACTAATTACTCGATTTAATATAAATATTAATAATTAATGCATCAAATAAGGAAACTGGCTATTTATGAAAATAAAGTCAAGCTCCATAAATAGTAAATAATATTCGGGCGTTACAGACGATCTCCAACAGCGGAAATCAAAAATATTTCAGAGTCGACAAAAATATTAAACGACACGCGTTGAACCCTAGCTTCTAGTTCCGTTGCATATAGGATTTAACTCGTAGATAGTTCGGAACTTTCACGATTTAGACGTTCTTAACCGAGCCCAACAGTTGAAAACTTATCATCAAAGTCAAAATAAAACTCTTCTTGTGGAAATGCGGGTCTGTATATAGACTTATCTTTAATGTTTGTGATGAGGCTCTTGAAACCAGTGAACACATATTTTTTCAATGCAGCAAAGCAAAGAAAATTTGGAGAGTTGCACCTTGGAAGGATTGCAAACTGATTCAGACATTTTTAATCATTGGTGGTCCAGAATTTGCTCTCTCAATCATTCTTCCATCTCCGATGATAGAATTCAACTGACATCCTATATCTTATGGTGGATATAAAAAGCTAGGAATCTCTGGGTTTTCTAGAGAGTGTGGAGATCAGAGCTTTCTATTGTAAATATGACTACTTCTGATTGGTTAGAGTTTTTGACTGTTAATTGTGCTTCTTGTCTATAGTTTGTAGTTTGTTTTTTCTTGTTTAACTGGGTCTTGCTAGGATCTTTTGATCAGTGGCATGCCCTTTTGGGTTCAGGCATGTTTTGCAACCTCTTTTGTTACCAGGAATAGATCTCAAGCCTTGGGATCTTTGTTTTGTCATTGCCAAGTGCTCTGGGTTGCATTAGTTTTTCTCTTTTGTTTAGGTCACCTTGCTGTGTACCTCCTTTGCACTCTTGTGCTCGATTGTTTGACTTGTGCCCTCTTGTACTTCTTTGGGAGTTACTAAAACTATCATTTCGAAAAAAAAATGTGTTGTACATCAACTTAACAATTAAATTGTTTGGGTAATTAAGGTTGCAGTGTAACACGAGTAGTATGCACACCTTATAATATTAGGGCATGTTTGCACATTGTTAGGAACTCTAACAACGACTATCGTAAGTGGGCAAAACGAAATAACACATTTCAAATGCTTGTGCTGGATTCTTTATTATAAAACGAACAAATGCGTACAATTTAGGAGCTTGTGAAGTCCATTTTATCAACAGAATCTATGACAACTGTTATGCCTCCACATTTCAAGTGGCAAGAGCATTTTGTTCTGGTATTTGAGATGATGATGCGTGAGTCCAATGGCAACCAAAAAAATATTTGCATCAAGGGCTCCTGTTATCTTATGCAGACACACCATATCAATCTACGGTAGTCACCAGATACACACGATAGTAACTTTCTGGAAGGAGATTTCTACACAATAGGTGATACATGAACAAAGTTCTCCTAGGAGAAAATGATGATAAGCAAGTCTTATCCGTGTCTTTACAGAAAAAACAGCACCCAATGCACTTCACATACAAAGTAACTATCCGCAATACGCATAGCAATCATTTTGGAGGATAGCCCTGTTCTTGCATTGACAAAGTAGACATGCTTCATACAACTGTTACTGTAGTATAAACTCGTCATCATTAATCTGCATTTTAAAGTGTAATAAGCACATGCTCGTGGAAAAGAAGAGAACAGAAAAAATGGTGCATATGCTGAGTTGAAAATAGATAAATGAACCATAAATTAAAGTGCAGATCAGTAACCGTAATGTCTATCACAAACCTCAACAATGTCTTGATATTTTTAAAATTGAGGGGAGAACCCCAAATATTAGTTTTGTTGAAAGTATCAAGTGACATTATCAATGACAATCGATACGAAAACAGAATATAACATTTGCACTAAATTCATCAGAAGTAAGATAAAAGCTAAGGATGATAAAATCACAATTCAGGCTTTCTGTGGGAGAAGGATAAATTTAATTGAACTAGCAATGTATTTGTATAATTGCAACTATCTAAATTCATTTCAATTTTTTTCATCCTTTTGAGAGATTAAGTGACTTCTCTGACGTCAACGTAGATGTTGTAAAGAGAAGAAATTACATTAAAACATTAACTAAATAAAAATAAGCAATTAGAGCAGAACAAGACAAAATTCAAAAATGGCATCTTGTTTTTTATGGGGGCAGTTCTTCCATATTTTATGTTTTACTTTATAGTCAAAAGAAAAGCACAAAGATTGGAGGAGAAAAGTGCGTAACACTAGGTACCTAGATTTAATATGTGAAAGTAAACATCCTCAACAGCGACAGAGGCACCGAGCAACTGAATAGCAAGTACAGCACCAATTTTTGGACTGGAAGAGGTCTGGCTTCGAAAGAAATTCGGATAAACCATTACCCGCTGATACTGAACATATTTCTGCAAGGAAACTCCAAAAAGCCTCCAACCCTAACTCAATCTATAGAGCAAGTGCTCACCTGCGTCAAAATAAACTAAATAAAACTCGAAATCTCAGAAGCAAAAGGAAAAAGTAAAGACTAAAGAGTGGTTTCCTTTACAATATCTGACTGGAAAGACAGATTTATTATAATAATAATAAAAAAAAAGAGAACAATTGCAGAAGTACGTAACTTCCCAGGAAGATAACTTGCCCAATAGCCTAGCTCGTTTAGCCGAGCCAAACTCGAGCCGAACTCGAGCCGAGCCGAGTCGAGCTCACGAGCGGCTCGTTTTGTTTAACAGCTCTATCTGCTATTAAATATCCACCAAACACTACTGTAGACCCAATAATACAAACCGCTGTTAATAGAATTCGCTATTTTACAATCACTTATCAGTAAGTCTTCTTCTGTTAGACTCCCTAATGGCTAGGCAATCATAATCTTCCAACAAATTACATACTTTCTTTATGTAAGGTCACACTTTAGAGAACTATATAAACAAAATTGTATAGTATAAGTATGCATTTTTTTTTATAAGAAAGTGTGGCTGCATAAAGAGAAGGCAAGGCAGCCTAACATTCAAATGCTTAGCTATTAGCTTTCCGCTAATTGCTAAACAAGGCCAATAAATTTCTCCCCCTCTAATAGACTCGCCATTCCCCATTTACAGTTTGTTTATTCGCTTCGGATCTTGAGGGTTTGTGGATAAATGATTGAAAACTTATCCACTAAGACAAACCTAACTCTCCTCTTGTATATCCTGATGAGCGGGGGTGGGGGTGGGGTGGTTATGATAATAACTGAACAAAAGGAACACAAGAGGAAATTGAAACGGACCTGACTAGATGAGGCACTACATAGAGAATGCATCCTTTTTAAGATACCTATTAACCGGTTTAATCCTCCTAATATCCAATTGCCAATTGTTCCTTTTTCTCTCCTTATCTACCATTCTACCTCCATTCCAAATTTCTTATAAATAACAAAGTTTTCACCATAAGAAAAACCAATCTACATTCACCAATGACGAGAATCACCACCTCCTTTTGAGACCAAGTCCGTGCTAAAATGCCATTTTTCGGGAATAATTATGGAAATCAGAAACTATAAGCACGTAATTCAAATCGGTAATGGTAATAAAGATTATGCTTGCTCCCATGATCAATATGCCCAATATGCTCATGCAAATAAGTTTAGACTTTAGCTTGAGATCAAATGCTACATTTCAATAAACCAATGACATGTACAAGACATCAACGGGCCACATATTTGGTATTGTATTATCACATGATTAAACTTGGGCTATCAAGCAATGTTTTACATTTCAGTAACCTTCCATCTCTGCTATTCGTGTACTTTATTATAGACTAAAAAGTTTGACGGAATACAACACATTAAGGCTGAACCCTACCTTAGAGAAAAAAAAGAAAGGGAAAACAATTAATGAACTGGACAAATGTGCATCAAGGATATTTAAGAGTCCTTACTATAATCAATCACCAAAAACTGCAGATAGAAAACAAATCAAAATGGCAAGTTTGAAAAAGCTGATTAAAAAAGAAACAAGTGTCACATAGTCATTCAACTAATATCCAAACTGAAATAGTTTGGGAATTGATTTGGATCAGAAATGAATCGCCAATGAGAAAACATTATCAGCATGATAAAAGAATGATGAGTTTGACTTATAGATGTGGTGAAACACAACAAGAGTCTTTAATCAGTCTCATATAATTGGTTTAAAGCCAATGAATTTTACCTGCTTGTAGATGCAGTACACCGTTTGGCCATCTTCTTTAATATTTCATTTTCCATGGCAGTGTTGGAGCTAAATGCAAAAGCATCCACCAAAGATTTGTATACATAAGACTCCGGTACCATCTCATTCTCTTCCATCCTCTCCAAATAGATTAAAGCAACATCCGGCTTCTGGCACTTGCAAAGCCCATGTATAAGAGCCATGTACGCGATCCTATTAGGTTCACATCCTTTTCTCTCCATTTCGCTCCAAAGGTTAAGAGCTTCATCAGGTTTTCCCGCATTACACAATCCATCAACTAAAGTTGTATAAGTAATGACACTGGCTTCCTGTCCTTCTTCTATCATCCTTGAAAAATATTGAACAGCCTTATCAATATTTCCATCTTTACACCACCCGTCAATTAGCAGATTGTAGGTAGCCACTGATGGAACAAGCCCCTTACCAAGCATCTCATCCCAAATGTCCTCAGCTTCTGCTGTTCTTTTGGCTTTACAAAGTCCTTTGATGATGGTGTTATAGGTGACTACATCAGGGCAATAACCTCGTTCACAAATTTCTCTGAACAGTTTCAGACCGTGATCCAATTCGTTGACATTGATAAAACCATCAATAGTTGCAGCAAATGCAATCAAGTCAGGAAGAAAACCTTCTTTAGTCATTTCAGAAAGGAAGTTATACGACTCAGATGCCTTACCAACTTCGCACAATTTCTTGACAAGCAGCGTATAGTGCTTTATCCAGGGGTCATGGCCACAACCACGCATTTCCCTCAACAAACCAAGAGCTCCTTCAACATCCATTCTTCTGCATAGGCAGCCAAGTATGCAATTGAAGGTGAAATGTGTTGGCTTGAATTCTGAAGGCTTCATCTCATTCAGCAGATCAAAGCATTCTTTCAATCTGTCAGCGTTGCTTAAGCAATGGATTAAGTTATTGAAAAGTAAAGTGTTACGTTTTGAACCACTTTTATCCATAGCCTGGAACAGATCTAAGGCCATATCTAGCTTACCAGTATTACACAAACCATCAATAACAGTTTGGAAACAACTCGTGTCAGGTTGTTCAATAGTTGAAGATATTTTTTCCCGACTGCTTCCATTCAGGCCAGATTCTATTACTGCCTTGAGCAGGTGATATGCTTTATCAACATTATTATCATTGACAAGACCTGTCAGAACAGAACTGTACAACTGCATCCTTTTCCCCGCATTCAAATTCATACTAATATCTTCAAGCAATTGAATCAGGTCCCTCTCTTCCGGCATACACACTAAAAGCCGGGTAATTATCCGTACATCAGGCCAAATCCCGAATTGCTGCATGTTCTTGTACAGCAGCACGGCTTTCCCCAGTTCCTTATCCTTACATAAACCTCCAATTAGCACATCGTAAACAGAAATATCTGGCAGAAATCCAAGGTTTATCATTTTATCATATAGTTCTAGAGCTTTATCTACTCTACACTCCTTCACAAACCCATGAATCAAAACCCATGCTGTCTTCTGATTTAAGCTTACCTTGAGATTCTTCTCAGCCCACTCAATCAACTCAAAAGCCATATCAACCTTCCCGCACTTGCTATAAGACAAAACTAAAATAGCCAATATATGCTGATCGACCCATCCCTTATCAATCAGTTCATTAAAGACCATCAAGGCCTTATCAAACTTTCGAGCATTGCAGTAGCACTGCAATGCAGGGGTTAAAGCATGCTTATCCACAGGACAACTGGAACTTCTCATCTCATTCAACCTACACTCCAACATAAAAACATTGCCACTTTTTGCAAACACTTCCAACAAACAGTTATAACTATATGAATTTAAGGCACAAAGTCCGGATGTTTTCACCTGATCAAACAAAGAATTAGCTTCTTCAACTAAACCCTGACTACCGAGACACCTCAAAAAATATCCCAAAGCCCCTGGGGTCCAAATACAGGGGGATTTAGATAGACTCACAGCAAGATCCCTTAGTGGGGCATTTTGTCGAGCAGTTGATAGGATTGCAGCCATAGCATTATACGTGTAGCAACTGTGCGAGTACCCTAATTGCTTTGAAGCCCAGTTGAAGAACACCTGGGCTAATCTCCAATTTCTGAGAGATTTCAATACAGATTCAACCACTTCAGGAGTGAGCTTTGGGCTAAGTTCTTGAAGCTCAGGGGACTCTAAACAAATGGGTCTTCTTGTGAAAGCGGATATGAGAGAAGCTTCCACTGTGCTTCTGTTGGCAATGCTGCAAATCAAATTTCTCTGTACCAAACGAACTGCACAAGATATGTTCGTGATAAAACTTTTGTTGGTAAATATGAAGAGCAGAAAGCCGCGATGAACGTTTATGGGGTTTCTGGTTAGGCACGTATAATATGTTGCCATATTAAAAGGCTTCCAGTTCCAATGAATATACACAGTCCAAAGTGCTATTTCTCATCAGAGTTCCACCATTTGCTGCAAGCTACAGCACAAATTTCGGTGTTTTTCGCTACCCCACAACTTTCTTCGAATTGTTTTTTACTTTCTCGGCATCTCGGAACTGTATTTAAGATTACACTATGGGCGTGTTTGATACGTCAGATGGGATTAGATTGTAATAATGTGGGCTGGGAGATTGTAGTGTTCAGATTTAGGAATATAGATTGTAGTAATAAGAGCATGTTTAGTAATAAACTTTCATAAACCTAAACACGTCACATCATTCAAAACTCCATTTTTATTCCTACACTCATAAACCTTCGATAACAATAAACCTCATTTTATATGGGTCCCACATACTTCTCAATTACTTGTAATTAATATTATACTCTTATATTTTTTTAATATTTTAAAAGTATAACTCCACTTCTATTCTTATTGAATCTAATAAAAAATAATATAATTATATTACATTATTTATATTATAAAGTGTTAATCACAATGTAAAGTTTTACTTAAAATAAAATTATACATTCATATTTGTATTCATATTTTACAAATAAATTTTATTAATTTTTTTATTCATATAAACTTTTTATATGTTTATCATAAATATATATAATATATTTGTAAATATTTTTTTTTTTTTGACGAAACGATAGAGATTTTATAGAACTCAAAGCGAACCAAGTTCGAATAATACAATCCAAAACCGAAATAGAAACTGAAAGGACACGCCCAAAGCGGCCTAGAACCTCAACCAACTAAAAAGGAATCTAAAAGAAGAAAATAACAACTAAAAGACCAAAAAAAAACTACAAGCACCATCCACTGCCTCAAGGCCTAGAGGTGAAAGGGAAAACATACAAACAAAACCAAACAAACAACACACAAAAGGGGAGTAACTACACAGCCAACAACCTGAAAAACAGACGCATTAGGACTTCACATGGATGAAATCCAACCAATCCTGCTGAGCAGCCTTCAATGTGATTTGAATGGGCATGACGGTATCTTGAAAGATGTTAAGGTTGCGCGATTTCCAAAGCCACCACAGGATATAGGTAGTAAGTTGAATTCTGGCCTGTGATGTCTCTGAGTTGTCAATGGAGCATATATCCATCCACCAGCCTCTGAAGGAAGAGTCATGGTTTGGCAGCTGAGTCCAGGAGATAGGGGCAATATTCCACAGCTGAACAGCTCTCTGGCAGTGAAATAAGACATGGTTTATTGTCTCTGGTGCCTCTCCACAAGTTCTACAGACCACATCTAAGTTCAAGCCTCTTTTCCTCAATTTAGTTTTAACTGGCAGAGCCTCTGCTATGCATTTCCAAATGAAAATTTTAACTTTGTTGACAACCTTCATTTTCCAAAGCCTCTGTCTGATTCTGGAGTTTGGTGTGCTGCTGCTACTGGCAATGTCAAGGGAGAGAAATTTTTGCTGAGACAAGAAGGAATAAGTACTGGACACTGTGAACTCACCATTCTTGTTGAACTTCCAGTACAATCTGTCATGTTTTCCTGGTTTGAGGGTTTTGATATCAAGAATTGCCTTGCTGTCCTGAGCATTAAAAACTTGGTTGATGAGCCAAGAGTTCCATTCAAGCCCTGCATCAGAGATAAGTTCCTTAACCCAAATTAGATGCCCTCTGGCAAGTTCAATCAGAGTTGGTTTTGGTTGCATCAGAGTGGGAATCCAGTTAACATCATCTATCCTTGTGTTTTCACCATTTCTAATTTCAACAGCATAACCTTTGGCAAAAATAGGCAAGACTTCCAACCAGTTAGACCACAACCATGAGCAGCTTTGGGTTTTAACAGCATCGAAGATTGAGCAGGTTGGGAAATACCTGTCTTTTAGTATACTGCTTACCAGAAGATTAGGTTGGGAAGTGACCCTCCATAACTGCTTGCAGATAAGGGCTGAATTAAAGAGTTGCAGGTCCAGAAAGCCCAAGCCACCATTGTCTTTTGGGAGAGTCAACAGATTCCATGCTTTCCAGGGAATGCCTTTGCTTTGTTCTTCCCCTGGCTTTGGGAATCCTGAAACAGGACATAGTGAACATGGGAAGGGCTTGAAGCACAGCCTTAATGAGAACAGCTTTTCCAGCCTGACTCAAGAGCTTTGATTTTCAGTTTTCAAGTTTGTGAATAACAGAATTAATAATGTACTTGAAAGTGTCTACTTTGGACCTGCCAATCCCCAAAAGGCAAGCCTAAGTACTTAGTTGACCTTGTTAGAGTAGGATACCCGGCGTTCCAATCTAATTGGACGTATTCTACTTGTAAATACAGTCTATTGGAATTATATTATGAATAAGGCATTTCTTTATCTTAAGAGAAAGCATTTATCTTATAAATACACTTAAGATAAAATCCCTAGATCACTTATGGTTATAAGGTATGGTTGCGCATAGAGATGGTGATCATGGAACATACCTTGAAAGCCGTGATCTTAAATACAGTTCCAAGTCGATGGATGTTTCGAGATGGGATATCGAATAATCCATAAAAGACTTGCACATAGTTTGTACACTTGATTGGACAAGAATGTTGCATTCCATCAACATTAGCGTGTGACGCAAATACATTTATGTGGGTGCTTGTTAGAGAACAAGTTCACTGAACATGACCGTATGAAAATTCTTAATGAAGAATTATTTTAGTTAATAATCTGTCGAATAAGAATTTTCATGTTACAATAGTACATGACTAATCCTAAGACTTGAGGCACAATGGTAACTTTGTGCATATTACATTCTACTTTGATTTATCCTTTTGGTAGCTAGCACTATCGTTTAAAGGGATAAGTTGGGTATTATGTTAATATGTATGGAAGTTTGTTAGTGGCCAATAAAGGATTCGACACTTATGAAGATAAGTGAATTTCCTATGTGTTTCATAGTTATTAATCCAAAGTCCTTGGCCAAGGCAGAGATGAATAGTGATTCATAACCGGGTTAATAAACATGAAATAGAATCATAGTTATTAAGTCAATTTGGGTTTCGACAAAATCATACCCAAGACTTAATCGGGAAATTAGATGTCGAAAGGATTTTACATGTATGGAGTTGTAATCGGAATAGGTTTACTCGCTATTCACTTAATACTAGATTCATGATACTTGCTAGGTGTTACCATGATATGTGGGTTCATGAATTAAGGGGTTAATTCTTGAATAAGAGTTAATAAGATTTAACTCAAATTACAAAGTGTTGTAAACCCACTACTAGTATTAATGGTGAACCTAAAAGGTCACACTAATTATGAACAAAGGTAAAGATTGTATTTCTAATGGTTAGAATTAATTGATAAATATCTAATTTGATTAGATATCAATTAAAGGAATATATTAATCAATAAGATTGATTAATTACATTTTTGGATATTACTTTAGTAATTAAGGTAATTACTAAATTAATAAAGTTGAATTTTAAAATAGGATTTTAAATTTCAAATCCAAAATAATAATAATATGATTATTATAATATGGATGAAAATTGGGAAATAAATATAATAATAAAGTCTTGGAATAGATTCTCAAGATTTATTATTATATTATCTTTAAATATGATTTAAGGATTAAAATAATAATTATGAATATAATAGATGGTGGGTAATGGTGGTTATGAACAACCAAACATAGTTTATTATATCTAAAGTCAATAGTTAGTGATTGTATTTAAATAAAATTAGATTTTATTTAAATATTACTAAATGTTGATTATTTTATGCTAAAATGTTTAGTATAAATAGATGCAAAATGTTTGCAAATATGGCTAAGTGATTTTGTGAGAAATCAAAGAGAGAAGAAAGTGTTCTTCATATATTTCAAGAAAGTGTTCTTGATAATTCCCAAATTATATCTATAAATATTCCTATACGAGAAAACCGAGACATTCCTACTAGCGAAGGAAAGGTTGTCGGAACCGGGCTTCATAGGGTGGATACGATTAGAGGGAAGACACTTAGATTCCTAAAGCGAGTAACCTCAAGCCGTTGAAGTTACAACCGGGAACCGATTCCCTCATCCATCATCAATTGTGAAGGAGTTCAAGACATAAGGTAAATATTTTACTGATATTTACTTTATAGTAACAAATCAAAATTTGTATATGATGCATGTTTTAAAGATGACGATCATTTAATTCGCAATTAGTATGTACGGGTGTTGTATTTATACGATAAATACTTATTTTAAAAATTTTAAATTCCGCTGCGTACAGCCCGTACGGTACTAGCAAACCCAACAGACCTGTGCTCAGTAATACCTGTCAATGAATCACAAATTCTATTCTGCAGAGCCTCAGGTGTTTTCCTACTAAAGAAAATGGAGGACTTGCTCATATTGACAGCTTGACCAGTAAAGAGTTTGTATCTCTCAAGGATGGAAATAATAGAATTTCCCTGATCAACTGTAGCTTTGCAGAAAAATAAAGAGTCATCTGCAAAAAGAAGGTGTGAAATAGCAGGGCCATTTGTAGAAAGCTTTAAGCCAGTGAGATGACCAGTTTGAGTAGCATGATTGACTAGAGCAGATAACATTTCAGCAACAATAAGGAACAGATAGGGGGAAAGAGGATCCCCTTGTCTTATTCCTCTAGATGGAAGCACATAACCATTAACTGCACCATTTATCTTGAAAGAAAAGGAGGTTGTGGAGATGCAGATCATGATCAAGTTAATAAAATTTGTGTGAAAACCCATCTGAAGCATGATTTTTTGAACACATAACCACTCAACTCTATCAAAAGCCTTCATAAGATCAAGTTTTAGAGCCATAAAACAATGTTTGTGAGAATTATGCCTATTCAGATAGTGGAAAGCTTCTTGCCCAATGATAACATTGTCCATAAGTTGTCTCCCTTTAATAAAAGCAGACTGAGAGTCACTGATACACACATCCAGGCATTTCTGCAGTCTAAGAGCAAGGATTTTGGACAGGATTTTATAGACAACAGTACATAAACTGATAGGTCTGAATTGATGCACATATTCAGGATTGAGGCATTTGGGGATGAGAGCGATTATAGTGTGGTTCCAATATTTCAAAATGAGACCTTTATCATTTAAAAAGCTGGAGATAGCAGATACCACATCAATTTTGATAATATCCCAAAAAGACTGATAAAAGGTAGCAGTCATACCATCCTCTCCTGGGGACTTGTCAGCTTGAAGGCTGAAAAGTGATGTTCTGATTTCTTCTTCAGAGAC